TTGGTTGAAGAATCCACTGAAACCAAAAATGTCGCTAAACCTCCTGTCAGAGATGAAATGATGGAAAATACACAGGACACATCAACACATCAACGCGATTTCGATATCACGGGAATTCCTTTAAAAAACAAGGTTAAAATAGAGAAACCATTTACCGGTGATGACAGGTTTATTTGCCAATCTCCGGAAATTAAGCCTCCTCGAACTCTTGAAACAAAACCGCGAACTCGTACGCCTCAAATAGAAAAGAACGASATTAAAGGAAACATTTCGCCAAGCCCTGAAGAAACCTCACCGGAAAATAATTATTTAGAAAACGAGACTCTGAAATACTTGATTCAATTGCAAGCAAAACAAACCGAGCTAAGCGCCCTTTTAGTWAATCAACAAACCGCAAATCTATTACCCACAAAGGAACCGCCAATCATCGATGGTAACCCATTTGAATACCCAGCATTCACCACGCCTTTCGACGCTATTATATCCTCGAACGTAAAAACAGAGACCGACTTTACTACTTTACTATACCAAAGGAAAGGCCAACGGAGTGGTGAGAGGTTTTCTATCTGTCGCAAGCCACGATTCATACCGTCAAGCRCGAAAACTTCTAGATGAGCGTTTTGGCAATCCAGTCCACGTCGCTGAAACTTACAAACTACGCATGCGTAACTGGCCCAACATCAGCGACGGCAATAGCAAGGCCTTACTGGAGTTCTCTGATTTCCTAGTGCGATGCGTGGAAGCCGTGAAGTCAATTGGATCACCCGCTGAGCTGGATTCGACAGAGGCACTTATCGCCATGACTGCCAAACTCCCATCATACAGTGGTGTGAAGTGGTGTCGTCACGCTCATGACATGCGGTTGAGGATGAAAAAGGTCTCCTTTACCGAATTCGTACGATTTGTCAAAGAAGAGGCAGATCTAGCGAATGATTTCATTTTCTCTCCAGACGCATTGAAAAGAGAAAGAAGAAAGACCGTTGACAAAGAATACAAATCAAGATCCAAAAGATCGGAGTCCTCATCAACTGCCCGCGGAAGCTTTGCAACCACCACAACATTGCCTTCGTCTAAGCCCTCAACCTCGAAGCCAACATCTTGCCCGGCATGCGAGAAGCCGGGACACGCCCTAGAGAGATGTTACGTCTTCAAAGCAAAGTCCGCAGAAGACAGAAGAGACTTCGTCATGTCAAAGGGACTCTGTTTTGGGTGTCTGAAATCAGGGCACCTTTCTTCGAGCTGCCAAGGAAGACTACAATGCGAGGAGTGCGGGAAGCCACACCCTATGCCTCTCTATGGAGTCAAACCAAAACCAAAACCGAGGAACAAGCAAAGAGCAGGAAACAATAACGTCGCATCTAATAATGCCATAATAACCACACCTATTGAAGAAGAAATAGCAAGTTGCAACTGTGTTGAAAGTAGCGGAGCAACAACTTCCTTGATAGTGCCGATTTTCCTGAGCCACAAGGACTACCCTGATTGCAAAGTCAAGGTTTACGCTCTTAGATGATGGCAGCGATTCGACTTTCGTCAGAGCCTCGACGCTCAAGCAACTAGATGTTGAAGGTCCTGAGATCACTCTGAAACTTAATACGATGCATGGTCAACAGACAATTGCAGCTATGAAGATTGAAGGATTGATTGCTGAACCGCTGAATGACATCGGAGGCCCAATTGACCTGCCTAAGACCTACTCCAGAGATTTGATTCCTTCGCTTAAAAGTCAAATACCTACACCCGCAGTAGCTGCCAAGTGGTCACACTCCTCCCGATGCAGGACGACATGGTTGTGGGAGTGCTAATTGGCTGTAATTGCCCCAAGGCCTTGAAACCAAGAGAAGTCATCCCAGGAGGGGAGAACGACCCTTACGTGGTCAAGACGTCACTTGGTTGGGGTGTATTAGGTCCAGTCAGTCTACCAACAGAAGACAATGGCCTCACCTGTCACCGTGTCGTAGCATTATCCGATGGYTCAAATAAAGGTGTAAAGTTCGTATCGAAGGAACAAACAAAGGAAATTTTCGATCCAGAAGCCATAAAGTTCATGTTCAAATAGGACTTCTCAGAGAAAGACCAAGGAAACATCGCACTTTCTCTTGAAGACCGAAAATTCTTGAATATAGTAAAGGGTGGGGTTCGCCAGCTGCCAGACGGTCACTACGAACTACCATTACCAATTAAGGATGATATCCTCAGACTGCCAAACAACCGTGTAATGGCATACAATCGCTTGAAAACCCTGCAAAGAAAACTTAAAGCTGATGAGGTATACCGCAAGCATTACATCGAATTCATGAACACTATGCTGCAGAAGGGATACGCAGCACCCGACACAGAGAAGAATACGTGGTATATCCCGCATCATGGAGTATACCACCAGAAGAAACCTAACAAGGTACGGGTAGTGATTGACTGCTCGGCGCAATACGGAGGGGAGTCACTGAACAATCATCTACTTCAAGGACCAGACTTAACCAACAATCTAACCGGCRTCCTCTATCGATTTCGTAGATAGCTGTCATGTGTGACATCGAAGCTATGTTCTACACCAAGTGCAAGTTCTCGAGGTTCACCGAGATCTGTTGCGATTCTTGTGGTGGGAGGATGGTGACACGTCAAAGGAACCAAAGTATTATCGAATGACACTTCACCTGTTTGGCGCAGCGTCATCACCTGGTTGTGCTAACTTCGCCTTAAAAACCACAGCTGATGACTACGAAGCCACTCTCRGAATAGAGCCCGCCCAATTTGTCTGTCAAAACTTTTACGTTGATGATGGCTTGACATCTGTCGCTGCAGTCAATGAGGCCATAAAACTGGTCGGCAACGTAAAGGAGATGTGTAAACGCCACATCCCTGAGGCTAACAGAGCAGAAGAGGTAAAGCACCTGGATTTTAATCTTGGCACTCAGATGACAGAGCGAGCACTTGGAGTGTTATGGTGTAAAGAGTCAGATGCCTTCAAATTCACAATAAACTTRAAGGAACAACCATGCACCAGACGAGGCATCCTCTCCACAGTGAGCTCGATATTTGACCCGTTAGGATTCTTGCCGCCTGTCATGCTTGAAGGGAAGTCAATGCTGCAAGAGTTATGCTGCCTCAATATCGGCTGGGACGACCCAGTACCACAGGAGATGTAAGTACGATGTCGTGATTGGAAGACTCGCTTGCAACAGCTAGAGGGATTTACRATGCCACGCTGTTACAAACCTGAAGGCTTTGGCGTAGTTGCGAAGGCAGAAGTGCATAATTTCTCAGATGCAAGCTTCAAGGGTTACAGCCAATGTAGCTACCTCAGACTAGTGAACACTGAAGGCAAAATCCACTGCTCTTTCCTAACAGGGAAAGCCAGAGTCACTCCGTTAAAGAAGATCACAGTTCCTCGTTTGGACCTAACAGCAGCCGTCGTCTCCGTCTACGTAAGCCAACAAATCAAGCGAKAGCTAGACATGGAGATAGCAAACAAAGTTTTTTGGACTGACAGCAAGGTAGTCCTTGGATATATCGCCAACGAGGTGAAACAATTTCACGTCTTCGTTGCCAATCGTGTCCAAGAGATACAAGAGAAATCATCAATCAGTCAGTGGAAGTACGTAGACACCAAAAACAACCCCGCCGATGAAGGATCTAGAGGTTTGCGAGCAAACCAGCTAAATGACTCCAAATGGTTGTCTGGACCTGAATTCCTTTGGAAGCCAGACGAATATCAAGAGTCTCCAGCAGCTCAAGTCTGCGAATTACCAAGCGATGATCCAGAGATCAAGAAAGGCGCTTCCATGGCTACGATTGTTTCAAGCATCACACCTAAATTATCATTCGGCAACTTTTGAGGTCCATGCTGTAGAAACACAGCTAACAATATGTTTTGATGTAGTATAAGTATGTATGTTTAGTGTTTTGCCACTGAAAAAAGCACCATAACAATTTATTTGAACGTTTAAGTACAACATTCAATACAATTTTACAATTTTATTTGTTTTGTTTTTTTCATTTTTTTTTTTTTTTTGTTTGTTTGTGTATTTTCTGCTTTTTTCTTCTTAGCTATATAATAACAAATATTTAACAAAATATTAAAAAGGAATAGAAATAAACAATTCTTTACGAAAATGTGATGTTCGAGACTATTTTTGTCTTGCCATTATAAGTTATGTTTAGTTCTGGGATGTTGAAAATGTTATCCTTGAACTGCTTTGAATGTAGTTTTTGCATAAAAACTGAAGGAAGAATTTGTTGAACAGTTTCAAACTTTTGTTGTGGAATATTCAAAATATTATCAGGTACTGTTTTGAAATCTAAACTAGATGCATACCTGCGTTAACTCGGGGTTCTTGTTGATAAAAATCTAGTAGTGAATCCGCAATATAAATATTCAGTGTTAATTCAGTGTTTAATCGATAAAGAAGTTTGTATACTTTTGTAGCTTCTTTGGTAAGTCTCGTTTACACTTGCGAATTTTGCACCGCATCAAAATACGGCTAAGAGAAAATCCTACTTTGCATAGCAGGTATTACGTAGTACTAATAAATACTCCCTTTATTTGTAAAGTTAATTTTTTGTTTATTTTACTGATTCGTCCTTGAGTCAGAAATCTATAAGCTTACGTTCGTGATCCTCTTTAATAATTTTGAGACAAAGTGCTTTCTTCTAAGCTTTCCGAAGTTGACATAGTTATGGAACTTAGAATATCTGGGAATATTGTGGCGGATTCGATGATAAACAATCTATCTTTATTAGTAGCTACATGTTATGTCGTTAGTGTCGTAGGATATCATCGCAATCACTAAACGATGAAGTGACAGAAGTGACAATAGTTTGAGTGAAGTGGTCGAAGAATTCGACTGTATTGAATCCTAATAAAGTTAATATTCATACCATAAAAAGGGAAAATTAAGCAAAAAAAATATTTACTGGAATGAAATATAATAACAGAAGCAATGTGCTTAGCATTAATATTATGATAGAATTGATCTCACTTTGATAGTCACAAGGGCCACAAGCTATAAACACAGTCCTTTGTCCTTCATCTTTTCCGACCGTTMTTTTCCGCGTGATAAAATACTTCCAATCGTCGGTTTTTCCTCAAAAGAACTTAGTCCTTTGTAGTTTCTGAGCCTGTATGAGTTAGTATTGCGTTCGCTTTTGATAAGATTGTTTGATGTAACAGTCGCCACTACCAAGAAATCGAAGATCACATGGAAGATGTGAATGTCACGTGATCTTGGACAATTTGTGACTGATAAGCGACGACAATGAACAAAAATAACAAAAAGACGCCCGAAATTTAAACTCGGGGATTCCTTTGGAACCCCGAGTAATAACAGTACCATTTCATGAAACAGGCACTCAGTTTCTGTGTCAACTTGCAAGATGAACAATGAGCTGATTTCGCCTCAGCAAAGACTTTAGTATTACATTTGTAACAGGAAAGGTATGAACCAGCTCGTGTTACAGCTATTATTTCACCATAGGCCATTGTATTACTGTTGTTGCAATGTCTTATGATACATGTAGAGGCGGGTGGCAACAAAACCTGGGCCCGGGTCCATGGCCTACCTATGGGCCACCCTAAACTCTACATTCGACTGCAATAATGAGAARTGATAAAGTTGTAATTCTTGATTTTGAAAAAAAATATCGGAATTTCTTGTAGAATTTATTTAGAAGAGGATTTAAAAAAAATCAACATGTTACAGCTACAATTTTACAATCATTCACCTCACGTTTCTATTTGGCTTCCTGTGTTCAAAAAATGCTTGACTGTGCTAAAGATGCCACATTTAGCACAGGAAGCCCAAACTACAATTGTCTTTTGATTTCCCGTTCTTTAGTCCCTTCTAATAACATATAAATATTAAGGTAAATGTCAGGGTTCATTTTTGGTTAAGGTAGAAAGCACACTAATATAGTAAATGGGATGATCCTGGAATCGCCACGMGCTTTCCAGCGATATTTAACCATCACATTCAATCGGTGCTCTATCAAGCAAGTCTCACCTGCACGGTGTATGGCACGTAATCTAACTCGTTTACHAAATCTTTCGCCATCTAGGAGAATATATATGACACAACAAGAGATGACAGACGAAGATCAATCAAAAAAGTAAGTTGAGAATATATCGATGATCATAAGTCGTCGAGCAGTACTAGAAATTCTCGATTACAAAATAATCCGAGGAAGAATAGGCCGRGGGAGCGCCGTTCGCTGGTAGGTTTTTCACTCACCACGTGGTATGATTTAGCCCTGAAGTGCGAAATTTAGAATATGATCCCAATTAYATATCATTATATTGTATTGATTACTAATGATTTGGTCTGTAGCTTTCCCTGCTTTTAAATTCGATGCCTGTTCGAATGCCCATAAAATGAGAAGTTTGAGGAGTAGTTATTAGCTGTTATTAAGCAATTGTCAGAATTGCTTGTGTAGTAGTGTAGCACACAATGAAAATCTGAGACAGAAAGGAAAGAGGAATTTCCATATCAGTTTTCCTTTCTCTTTTTTTAGAAGCAGAGATGACAAAGAAGAAGACACATCAGACAATAAGAACGGTACAACAAAACATCGATCAATAGACAGTGCATTTTGAGCAACATAGGATAATGGGAGTTGCATTCTTTCATTCTAAAAGCGCGAGGTCTTTACTGTACAAAATGGCTTCGCTTCACATTATATATTGGCAATCTGATTTATATTCAGTCTGTGCAATGMATACGCAAAAAAGCCCCATAGAAAAATGCAACTTTCAGCTTCAATTCAAACTTTCTTGGGGATATTTAAAATGTATTATAAATATAATATTTTACCTTACTAGCAGACAAATCGGCTGCTGGTGGAGGTAATAACACCGACTGTGAGTATTTACAGGATGCAATTTTTAAATGTTCGCTTGCTTCCTTTTAATCATAGACAAAAAGGAGAGGAAAAAGATCAAGAGGTGCTACAGATGCGGGCGTGTCGGGCGTGTCGACACTGCCCGCGTAAACGCGGAAAGAGAAGACAAGGTACGTATCTGTAATTACCATGTGTAATTACATTTTTAAGCAGTATTTTCT